GAAAACACATTGTCAAATGGCATCAGAAAGGGGTTTATCGATTAATTTGGAACAGTATAGGTCTTTAGTCGTGTACAAGCGCTGCGAAATCGGCTGTATGCCAGTTTTTGACCCATAATATCATCGATAAAGGTATGGATAAAGGAGATAAAGTTGTGTCAAAATATGTGGCAAAATTTTGGCGTCAAAATATGGCATAGTGAAAACCAGTCCTTAGTAATTCATGTCAAAATAGTAGGTAGTAATTACCAAGCCAATTGGTCATGTCGTTCGAATGGACACCGACGCTCCAGCTCTGAAAGTATTCAACTCGGAACCCGCTGGTGGTAGCAGAGGAAGAGGGAGGCCCCCACTGCGATGGAAAGATCAGGTGGAGAAGGACTTGGCTTCACTTGGCGTTTCCAATTGGCGTCAGTTGGCACAGAGGAGAAACGACTGGCGTGCTTTGCTGAACTCGGCCAAAATCGCTTAGGCGGTTACAGCGCCAAAAAAGAAGAAGAAGAAGAATTACCAAGCCAGCAAAGAAACGTTAATTCTTCCGACAGTGCAGTTTAGTTAAATTTTCCGTATCCGAAAAGGCTTAGAAAAAACTCCTACTGTTATCATCAATTTTCGTATCCGGAAAACGTTCGAAAAATATGACGTCATTTGAAAGCAATAATAGTATTTTATTTGCTCAAGCTAAATAGCCCAGTTGTGCATGAGAGTTGTCACATAAGAATCTCTTAAATGGGCTTTACATGTAAGCGGTTACCCAACGCATAGCACTTAACATGTAGAATTCTGTTGGGTTTTGATTTTTACGTAAAAATGTTATAGCAGTGCAAGTATGCATAACTGGGTTAAACATTTGAAAGCGTGCATGCGTAGTCAGCATTAGCTGAGCGTGCAGAGGAGTGTGCCGCTATTTGTTAGCTTCCAGAAGGTGCCGGGTTCGAATTCCGTCAGACGGTTCCTAGTTGTTTTCTATTTCTTTTGAACCATGAAAAAGTATCTGTGAAGTGAAGAAGGAAAGCGTATTGAACGAAAAATTCAATCAGACAAATTTCAGAAAAAACAGCCGAAAACGTATCCGTTTCACAAACACTTTACGTTAGTTTTTTGTACATACGTTTCTGCCGCACACTTTAGTGGGAAAACGGATCGTCAAAGTATCCGAAAATGGAATCAGTAAACGGACAAAAATCTGCACTTAAACCACTTTTTTGTCCTTTTTCGGATCAGTTTTCAGATTTTTTTCTGGCTGGGTAATAATAGCCATTAAGAACAATTTCCGTTACATTTGAATATAACCAGCAGCGACTTCTGTTTATTTTTCATTTTACGTTGGCAGTGGTTTGATATTAATTGCTTGAAGATGGGTCGCAAAATTATATTTACCAGTGGGAATATTAGTTGTGTTTTGCAGGTGCTCACGATATTCACGATTTACAGGTTTTTTTCGCAGGAAAGCGTTTCAGGTGCCAAAAAAAACTGTAAGTCAAACCACTTTTATGAGAAGGCAAGAGAGCTTATTTTTTGTCAAGCATAACGCGAGACGGTTGATAAGGTCTCCATGGCGCTTTAGATTTAAAAATTAAATGGAAGTAGACGAAATTTAATAAAAATGACAGATTTATTAACTGAACACACTGAGGGAAATAATGCATAGTAAAAATGAATACTTTATATTTGATTATCGTTTAAAAATGTTCGTAATTAAAAATAATATTTTCCTTTTTTGACTGTTCACATCTGAGTATGTATGTATATGTAAAAACTGTGACAGACAGTGTTGCCAAATTTTTTTTGTAGCGCATCCCCATATCGAGCTTTAGTTATCCCCAAAAAATCCCCATTTGTCTCCTTAATCCCCATTTAAATCCCTTTAAGTATAAAATAAAAAAAAAGTATTTTTATTTCTGTTAGTTCATTTTAATTGGAGTTTTGAATACTTTTTGGTTACAAATTTTCACAGATTTATATGTGTTCATATTTATGTGATCATTTAGTGATTTATTTTTTATGGTTTTTGGAGACTAAGGTACCTCTTCCCATTGCTGTCTGTAAATTCCTCAAATTAGTATGTTTTTTTTTGTGCGCTTGCCACTTTGTAAATTTCTTTTTACACTAAATAAAGAACCGTCAATGTTGGCGCAAGGAAATCAGAAATAAATGTAGTTCATTCGGTGAATGCCAATCACAGCATTCCTTTTACAATTTGGTGTAATGAAGTGAGAGAAAATTGTTTGTTCAGCGAAAGCCAATCAAAGCAGACATTTGCGCCAAATAATGCTTTTACAAAGAAAATCTTGGTTGGAGAAATTTTTAAGGGCAGGCAATAAAACATATGTATTATAATTTCAATATGAATATTTTAGATCAAATAAAAATCCCCATAAAATCCCCACATCCCCAAACGAAAAAATCTATCCTCAAATGGTTTTAGAAATCCCAAAAATGGGGCGAAATCCCCACATCTGGCACCACTGGTGACATACGATAATGCTTATGCATACGGTAACCATCCGTCCTTTATTTTAAAGGACATTCCTTCATTTTAACCCCCTGTCCTTTATAATTTTTTGTCCTTTATTTTTTAAACTGTCCCTTAAAATCGGCTCTGCATTTTTCAGAGGTAAATTTTTAAACGCAGAATATGAGAAATAAAAATGTTCCTTATAAAATATAATGAAAACTTTCGTCAGTTTGTTTCGCACCCCACTTAAGGGTTTCTATTTAATCGGTTATCTTTGTACAATCTATAAAGCATAAGAAAAGTTGTGCCCAGGATCGTGTTGAACGCTGAGTTTCCACTGAAATTGAAGAATAAGCCCCCTGGTGCGCAGTGGTTCAAAACTGGCATTAATTTACTTCATTTTTCACTTAATTTTAGTTTTTCTTTTTTTTTATGAAAGCTTATCATATTTTCAAGAGACCAGTTGAGCCTGATTACTGAATTTTAATTTGATTATATTAAATTGTTTAGTGCAAAATGCAGAAAATGTAGCAATTCCGAAGAAAATGTATTCTCCTGTTCCAGTTAATAAATGTTATATAACAAAAACTAGTTGAAAACAATTGTATGGTTCTCCCAAAACAAAACAATACACAAAACTTTTGGTAAAAATTGGCTGAAAAATGAAGGCTCCGGTGAATTATGAACATCGAATTCCTATTTTGAACCACTGTGTGCTGGCTTCGTGCAGTATGAATTATGGTAAACGCATTTTAGTAGCAAAGGATGGCGAAGTTTTTGAAAAGGATTTGGCTTCATTTTTCGCTACAGCAGGGGAACTTATACAATTAAATAATATAATTAACTGGTAAATATTTGACTTAAATTGCGATATGGGCAAGGTACTTTTATCATACAAGTTATATGTACGTATTCCCAAATCATTTTGGAATAAAATGTCGTCTATTTTACGTTGTTTAATATGGTCACCGTAATTATAATGCACTTGAACGTAACGTAAAACGGAAGCATCTAAAATCATTAAATCATCATTTGTTACGATTCGCCCCGTGCATTATAACCAAGGTATAACCTTGTATTATTGAATCATGATTCATGAAAGCAGTTCACCATTTAACCTCGGTCAACGCGCACGCGCCCTCTTCAAATAAGTCATTGGCAAATCCTTTTATTTTGAATTATATATGAGAGGAAGGCGTGCTTATAGTCCGATTTCACCGTACGTTTTCAGTAACAACCTACCTTCGATGAAGGGCAACCTTTATACCAAATTTTTTTTGAGATATCTCAATTTATGTTTGAGCTATCGTGTACACGGACAGAACGACGGATGGACAGACATGGCTAAATCGGTGCACAAGTGCGTTCGGGTATAAAAACAGCAATTGATTACGCGAAAGTGATTCCTCTGTGATTAAGGGACTGATGAGCGAGAACCGCTAGTGATAACATCAGCGATGTATTGTTTGCCAAAAATCATCTATCTTCTTCTATACTATTATTCTGAGAATCCTGCAAATCCATTAGCTCCAGCATATCACGCCATATATGTATTGTTTAAAAAGCGCGATGAGTCTATTAGCGCATAATTGAGCCGTTTATTTTGAAAGTGACATAAGTCACTTCACAAATCTTGTGCTTAAATAACCGGCTATTTGTAATCGAATGCATCTGTAAATGGCTTTATCGTCATAAACTAACGACAAAACATTCAACCTTTCGTTGATGAAGTTGAACGAATAACCGACGCGTTTAAATACAAATAGCCGGTAATTTAAGCACTAGATTTGTGAAGTGACTTATGCCACATTCAAAATAAACGGCTCATTTATCAAATTTAGGACTGATACTACAAATTTTTTTTTTTATACCTAAATCTCTAATTCAAACCATGTCATTCTAAAGTGGCATAGCCAACTGTCCAAAAATGGATAGAATTTCGAATAAAAGTCGTATATTTCATCCGGTTTTCCTTATCCCGTTTCTGGACGTTTTCCCAGAAAAGTACAGAAATTTATGACCATATTCTCATGCGTTTCCGTTGAGCACTTCACATATGTTTTTTTTAGATATAAAAAAATATATAAAAATTTTACCCCGTATCTACTTCGGAGACACGAAAAAGTTTTTATAACGTTTTTTTTTTCCTCAGACCCAAATCAAACCTGGGATCTCGAGGAAACTATCAAATAACAGCAAACGCCTATTCACACTCATCTAGAGTTATGTAAACACATGTGCAAATGTTCAGTTTGAATGGAATCTTTTGAGACGTTTTGCGGAGACTTAAAATCATAGGAAATGGAAATGGGCTTTTTCCTGATAAGAAAAATGTGTAGAAAACTCACCGTCCGCCAAACGTAGCCTCCAAAGATCTAAATAAGTACACTCTCAAGGGAAATAGAAAACTTAAACACAACTGCATCTTATAAATCTCAATAAAACTAATTCAAAGCTTAAATATAAGTCCCTCAGAATGGCGAGAAAGTCAGTATCAAGGATAAACTTATGAATAACATGATGGATAACGTTTTGTACTTACGTAGAATATGTTTGTAGTTGGGTGTTTGCTTTAGCTGATTGTAGAGATTTACAAATAACGCAGCAAAAAAGTAGTTGCACACAATCGCCAGACAACAAGAGAAATAAAACAATATTTGCCGACGAGTGGTGCGCCAAATGTCAGTCATTATATTATCGATCTCTTGCTTCAATTGGTATTTTACGGGGAGATCTATAAAAAAAATTAAAAAAAATACAACAATAGAACTAATGAGACCATCTCGCAGATATTGCTGATGTCATACCGTGTTGAAATATTTCTATTTTATGTATTAGGTCGTGGGTTAAAGCCTGTTCCAGTAGACGGTAAAAGGTTCTTTGCCTTAACAGATAGTACACCATTTTGAAGAGCGAAATGAGAGTCTGCAAAGCAGTGCAAACAGTCTGCGAAGATAATTATTAAATTACTGAGTAAGTACCGAACAAATTTGTATGTAAAACAAGCAAACCTCAGCTAAGAGAGGAATGCTATCGAAATTTCTCTGGAGGTAGCACCAATGGGCGTACAAGGACAGCGTGCTACTCACCACCAAAATCACATTAACGCTTCAATGCACAAATAAGTTATTAATTAAGTTTATTAATAAAAAAAAACATATAGGCTTGTTCTATTCATTGCACTTACATTCTCAACGATTCTTTAAATTTACTGGGTGCGGTCAAATTAACGCCTAATCCATAAGAAACTCCAAACAGCACTTTTATTGAATTAAAATTACGTTCACGAACTTCGGCCGATTTGTCTAAAATCATTATTTTGTCTTAAATATAGCAACTGTTGTTTGTGTAGCTGAATAACTTAGGTTAAAATTAATTGCTGCACACTTCATCTTAAATACTAGTTGTTCAAAGTAATGATGTGATATCCGAGTATGCGCTGCGTAAGCTTCTGCGTACAATATTAATTGCTTAATTGATACCTTGGAATATAGGGGGACTGGCCATGATTTAAAATGTAATTAATATGCACACCCTCAAGTGATTGGGTTAAGCGCGGTTCGTATGCGGTCATTGGTCCTTTGTGAGTTCGTGCTCACCATCGCCTATCTGTCAACGCCCATGTTAAATGTTTAATTTCTCAAACGTCAGCAGCAATGTCATTGTTCGCGCTGGTGGTCATACTACGTTGGAGCAGATTGACATTTAAGTAAGGGCTTCGGAGCGGAGCAAAGCAAAGGAGCAAGGAGCAAAGGATTTTAGCTGGAGCGGAGCGGAGCAAAGAGCTAAAAAAATGAATTTTCCCCTTAGCTTATTAAAGAAAAATATTTAGTTAATAAATTTACTTACATTTTTTTTATTTTTGCCACTGAAAACAACTCTGTTAAATAAATTTCCATTCTATTTATTTCACTTGGCAATATTATTCATAATATGTTCGGGCATGTTTTTTGTCAGGCATGTTAGCAACACGCTGATGAAATGCTTAAACGTTTTTTCAAAAACGATAAAGGCTTCTCAAATGAAAAAGCTGAAAAAAGCAACAACATGGAAAATCGAAATTTGAAATTGTACCGAATTTGACAATAGAAATGTACCTTTTTGCTGCCAGATGAACTTAAAAAGTAGCTGACGATTTTGTTAATTTTTTTCAGACAGTTGGTAAGAATTTAATAAATTTTTACATTATTTTCATTAACAAGATTAATATATCAGTACAGTTGAATTAATATTCATAACAATTCAATAAAGGTATATGTATGTACATTGGGGTGCTCCACAAAAAAGAGAGTCGGAATTCTAATGCTCTCACCCTGTAGGATTATACTATACCGAAAAAGTAGTTTTTATTTTGAAATAAAAAAATTCCTAGAGGTCGCTAATAGCACTCAAAGCTTTCCATCAGAAAATGCAAGGGAGGACCCATAAAAAATTTATTTAGTATTTAAAAATGGTAAAATAAACAATTGTCTATTGTTATTGGCAGTATACTAAACAGTAGCAACGTTTTCCGATCAAAAAATATTGATATTGAATAATTCTATACCATTTCTACGAAAACTTGTTTCTTTCTCCATATAAAATGCATGGAAAACTTTGAGCGCTTTGAGCGACCTTTAAATATTTTTTGATAAAAAAAAACGGTTTATAATATTTTCAGGATCATTTCGGAATTCGCGTGCTTTGTCTGCTTACTTGTACGATCCAGAAAATAAAGGTAGCACCATTCGCGGACCGCTAACCCTTTCTTCGTCGATTTGACAGCATCCACCCATTCGCTGACGTCACACAATACTTTTGTTTACATTTTCTGGTTCGTGACATTTTAGGTTATTTCAACTTTACAAATTTGAAAATTCGAAACATTTTGAGCGTTGTTTCGTTTTTTGTGAAAACTTTAAAAAAGTTATAAATTAAAGAAAAAAAATTCGGTGTGCAATGGTTAATTGTACTAGTGTTAGTGCCAAAGGATCTGGGTGCAGTTTTTTTACTTTTCCGGCCAACATTGAGTTGGTGAAAAGTGGATGCAGTTCTGCCGGAGACCAACGGATTTCAACGCCCGAACCAGCGTCATTTGTGTAAAACACTTCACAACTGATGACTTCGAGAACGAGCTTCAATATAAAATGGGTAAGTTATACTATTTAATTCGCCAATAAACGCTTATTGGATTTCGTGAGCATGGTGTGACTCGGGAGTAAATTTCACGAAAGGTAGCCGCCCTCATCGTAAATGTGAAACCCCCCGGAAGCTTATATTTTTCACTTTTCATTGATACTGCATTTTATTAAAAGAAATGTTTTAAATTGTGTTAGGCTACGCTACAAAGCGTAAACTAAAGCGGGGCGTTGTGCCGACAATTTTCAAGCCTGCTGCGGTAATACCAGATCCTGACAAGGAAGCGCAGCAGCAAGTGTACAAAACCGTTGTGAGCGATCTACTGGAGCAAACATTAGCTTCTCTGTGTTTGTATACATAAAGGGCCCTTTTCAGGGCCGCAAAGAATTTACTAAGGGATCAAATGCTTTATATAAGCTTATACACTTTCAGCGATTTGCATTGCATTTAATAAGTACACATTCTTTACTTTTAAACAACCAATTTACCATTTAAAATTAAATAATTCCGTAAATCCGCGATTTATTATGCACTTTGTAAACAAACCATTCAATTTCGCCCCAGCTGTTCGATTCTTCTTCTTTTTCTTATGGAATTCGTCTTTGCTCGCTCATTCTGGTATATCTTGACGTCATGGCCAGTTGCTCTCAGCTCGATTGGCGCAATCTTGTATTCTATCATTCTTGGCTTACTTGTACAAAAGACAAGAGCTGCCGTTTTTACCAGTGTTGTCAACGAAAACTGCCCGGATCCGAGTTAATTCCCAAAAATTTCGTGCATTTGTTCGGCTGCTTATGCGCATTTTAAAGAAGAAAATGGATGAGTCAAAGCCACGCTCCAGAAATTAAAGGTCACGCCATTCGCGGACCGCTAACCCTCTCTTCGTCGATTTGACAGCATCCACTCAATCGCTGACGTCATAAAATACTTTTGTTTACACTCACTGTTGCCAACTTGATGCTTTTCGCACCAAATTTAGTGGGTATTCAAAACGCAAATATTTTTGAGTTTGGTGCTTAGTGCGTTTTTGGTGCTTTTGTTTTTAGTTTGAAGACATCAAATTAGAAAATCTTAAAAAAATGGAAGCAAAATTTATAGCAATCGTAAGTGTGGGAAGCAATTTTACAAAAATTTAAACAAATTCATGGCACAGGGACAAACTTAAGCGACAACGAAATATGGGCAGCACCTTCAATCATGCCAGAAGAAATCGAAACATTGATTTTTATTAATTTGAATCGGCATCCTTACAATAAAATTATCTATTCATATAAAGTCCATAAAATACACCAATAAAAATTTGGTGCTTTTTCAACACTGCCTTTTGTTCGATGCTTCTTCTTTTTCTTATCGAGTTCGTCTTGCTCTCTCATTCTGGTATATTTTGACGTCACGGCCAGTTGCTCTCAGCTCGATTGGCGCAATCTTGAATAAGAACTTATTTCGGTGACTGCATTACCGACGACAGGGTGGATGTCTATGCCAGTTTTGCAGTTTCTTTGTGTTCTATGCTAACTAAGCAAATAAAGCGTACGCATCCTTCACTCGCAGTAGCCGAGTGGTGAGAGCTGCTTGTAGTACACAAGCCTGTAGATCCCAGGTTCGATCCTCGGTTGCAGCGATTGCCAGAAAAATTTTGTTTTTATTATATCTTTTATTTTTCTAAATTTTATTTGATTTATATATTTAACTGTTTTTTATTTTATTTTCGTTTGTTTTATTTTATTTCACATTTTTTATTATATTATTAGTTAACTTAAATTTTTGGAGTTTAATTTTACTAAAAAAGTCAAAAACAACTAACTTACAACAACTTAAGAAAATATAAAAGTTATAATTGAATCAATAAAAAAAAATTAAATGAATATTCTACGGGCCGTGGGACTGGACGAACTCACGGCTCTTTAATCAGCATTACTGCCATCTATCAAGGCACAATTTTGATCAGATCAATTGCGGCGTTAATCCGGATCAACATTGCAGTCTGTCTATGCTTTTAGAAACAGCTTTTTGTTAAGATGAGAGAACAGGGCTATCCATATGAAGAGAAAAAATTTACCCGCCAATATATAGAAATATGAGTACTTTAATTAGTTCACCCTGTGCCCGCTGCTGGATTGCGGATTTAGCAAGCCGGGAAGTCGCCTGCTCGAATCCCACTGCAAGGGAACATTGAACATTTTTTACATCTTTTTTTAGTCTTTTAAATATTATTTAAATTTTTGTTATTTAATTACAGTTATTGTGGCCTTTTTAATTAAAGTTAAAGTCCAATACATTTGATTAATAACGAAATAATTATATGAAATACCATAAACAAAATAAGATACTAAAATAAAATTTAATAAAATAAAATATAATAATGTTTATGTTAAAATAAAAATATAAAATATAAAAAAATTTTTGGAATCGCCCGGAGTGGGGACCGAACCTGGGTGCTATTGCGTTTGTACTACTTCAACAACAAAACAAAACTTAGAACCTCATTTTACCATTTTAAAATCGCGTTCTCCTCATTTTAAAGTTAAAATTCTGTTTTTGCCATAAAATGGTGATTCATGCAAAGCTAAGTATGCATAACTGGGCTATTATTACTGTGGGGAATTTCATCTCATGATTAGAGACGGTCTTTTTGAGGATAACAATATATAATTGTGTTATTTATGAACAATATGTAGGTTAAGTATAGTATCAATGCTTAATTAACACTTGTTTAATTAACGCAATTAATAAACTGGAAAATCACATCGTATCTTTTATTAAAAGACGCGAATTTTGTGAATTTATCAAGGAAAACTCTAAATTTTCGAATATATTTAAGTCTTTTTTTAACTTTATTTATTTAAAAAATCGTATCGCTATTTAAAAAAAAAGGATTGCAGTCTAACCATATTGACTGGGCTGGTAGTGGCATTTCACTCCGGTACGCTATCCCACTACTGCCTACCACGGGAACTCTTGGCTGCTGGTTTTCACCCCTGGCCCGGTTCATCCCTCCTTAGCCAACCTGAATGTCGAGGACTCCTCCTTGACACCCATATTGATGGAAAGCTTAGTGCGGACGTTCCGTCAACATGAACTGGCCCACCACTCAGGACTCCCGGCCTCAGGCCATTCCACAATCCGACCTCACAGAAGCGTGATTACAGAAGATGCCAACCTTCCAGTCGAATGTAGGCAGCCGAATTTGTCTACTC